TAATGTTTACTGATAATCTGCCAAATTTTGTTAACGTTAGCTTACTAATTTAAAAATTATAGCATGAAAACTATAGCAAACACAAAATGGTTACAAGGTCATCATATTGACCAACCCCATATTGAAAGAGTTAAACAACATCTGAGTCAACATAATTTAGCATAATATCATGTTAATTTGTGAAACAAATAATTAGTTGTAATTGTTTTATCACAGAACCATTATTGTTTTCTCTAACTGATTCTTAGTTATAATATTAAAAAAATAATGCTGCTCAGTGGCAAGTCTGAAGGCTTACAATGTTAAAAACAGATTTCGATACTTGTGGTGGGCACAGCACAGATAGCCTACTGTACAGCTTTGAACTTAACAACAAACAAACAAGTATAATTTCAGCATGCATAGTTAGAATGTGTTCCCCATGAAAAACCGTGCATGCGCATTATTCACCCAATGACAAACAGTCTGCCTGCGGCAGAGAGCTGCAAAGCTCAGTGATCAAGTCGCTACAATTGCTGTACGAAACAAGAAGTAACAACAAAAGGGGAGTGTAAATATACTTTACTAACCATTTTGTACATCACAATATTAAAAACTTGTGTAAGTTTTTAAAAAAAGTTTGACATTAGGTCATAGAATAACATTATAAGTTTATTTATCGATAGTATTAAGTACATTAAAGTTTAGTCCTAACTAAACTAAAGTAAAAAAAAACGTACACAGGTTACAGTGTTAATTTATCTCTTTTATCAAACTTAGGCCTAACATAAGTTAAAGTTTTACAAAGTATGGCCTACATACAAGTGGATTTACACATTTAGTTGTCTACGATTACAATTCGTTTGTATTGTGCTAGAAATGTTATATTTAAAGAAGTACTGTTACTATAAAGATACTAATTTGGCCGGAAATGTTTTGCGGGTCTCTGCTAGTAAATCTCATTAAACATTCATTCTAACATATTTCACTGAATGCAAAATATTTATACATCATACAATGAAAATAAATATTGTGATGAGTAAAAAAAAAGTGAGAATTATCTAATATTCTCTTATGTTTTTGCATTCAGTGCAACCTAACAAAGGTTCCAAAACTTCAATGACCCCTCTGAACTGTTAATCCAGTTAACTTACTTCTGATAACATTACTATAACTTCTTCACTTCCTATTTTTGCTAAAATTCTTGCTGCTTTGGATAGGATAAAATCACCAGCTAATATAGCCTGTAAAATTATAAAATCAATTTTAATTACATGATAGACACAAACACAAATAGAGCTAATAGTACAAAAAAATACATGTATACCTATAATGAAACTAAATGCAAATCACTGTAAATAATACAGTTTTAATAATCTGAAAAATTTAAGACTGATAGTTATCTCTACATGTGACTATGAAAGACTAATAATTTTCTCAACAATTTAAATTGTTAGCTTACAAAAATTGATAATTATGTCTTACAAGAAAAATAGGAAATCTTTCTTTTCATCACATAAAAAACAAAGCACAAAACAACAGTATTTTGATTAGTTTATATATATAGTTTAACATAAAGTTGAAGCATTAAATGACAGTGTATCAGCTGTGCCATTTAGTAGATATACACAAGGAGTTAACCATAATATATTTATAATAAAATAAGTTAAATGTGAAAAATAACTTTTAGATTTTTAAGAAAACAGGACATTGCTCAAATTGAAGAACAGCTAACAGGAAAGCTGGCATTTCAGTTGACATAAACATCGCTCCATACAAAAACTCCCAATTAAGCACTTAATAGTCGTGAAATAAAGGTTTCACATATTGTGTTTACATGATGCATTAAAAACTTATAGAATGGTTTTCAAAGTAGCACAGAAATACAAAGAACATAATAAAGTAGAACCTGTTTTACTGCCTCAATAAACAATATCAGCTGATTAAAAAATCAGGTTACTTCATTCTCAATCCTTAAGTTATATTTAAGTGGCACAATCATATCAATGCTATTTAAACTGTTAAATAAACATGTGCATTGTTTTTCAGCTGTATTTCACCAGTGATGCTGGTGCACGTGCATAAAATCTTTTTTTAAACATTTCTGCATGACCTGGTTAGTTTATTATAAATTAGATGAAGAGCTAGGTATATTTAGATGCAGTATTTTCATACAAGAAACTTTTAAACAAAATGAAAATAAAATTGTTGGAGGTTAAAGTTTTTGTTAGCAGAATGTAGTCCAATTTTTCTAATAGAAAATGTACTGAAAATTAGCATATTTTACAGAGTAAAGTTAGCTAGTTATACAAGTCGGTCCATTTTGACCACCATATAGCTATGTCTCATGACCAATGCCATGTCATAATCAATCTTTTGTTTTATTATAAAGATATTAGTGAAATTTAAAGAAAAAACTGAATACTATTGACACTGATAAAACCAATAATTTCATATATAGCTACATTGGAAGTTTAGTATGATAATGATCATGGTTTTCTATTCTAATTTTCCAAGACACAAGCTGGGTATTCAGAACACTGTCAAATAGAATTGGAGCATGGGTCCGATGTGCCAGTGCCTAGCAATGCCTCTGTTTGCAGATAAAACCTTGTCTTATTACATAAATTCTATAAATGATTCAATAATCTTTCAACAGTAATTTCTATACCATATCTTCCCTGTTGACTCACACAGAGTAAACACGGTTAAGGTCTATATACATCATACAAAATTCAAGAAACTTATAGAATACATAAAGTTGAATTTTTTTGTGGGCAGTTTTTCAAAGTACATTTTGAAGATTTCCAAATACTTTTTTTGAAATTTAGTTAAGAAACAAGAGGGAATCCTCAATAGCTGTGGCACTTGAAATTCTTTTAGGCAGGATTAGGGTAAATTAATCTATGAGATTTTGGGCATGGTCAAATACACGAATCAACAGGGTTTGACCTTGAGTCCAAAACTGTATGTAGACAAAACTCCTGCACCATCTATTGAATGGCACCACAATCAAAATGCATGGATAAATTTCACACTTTGGGTAATCAAGATTCAGACAATTATAAAACTAACTGTGGTATGTGCAACAACCATTTCTTTATAATAGAACATAATTTTGAATAAAAGTACTCTCCTCACAACAAGAACACGACATTCACTACATGAAGGTTTGATTACATCGGTAAAAGTTATGAAAATTTATAGATCTATCCATTGAATTATTTTGATTCAATGAGTTGCATATGACTAAAGAGCACAATCCAAACACTTTTCCTGTGCAGTACTTCCCAGAAAAAAATCCTTTTTTAGAAAATGTTCACTTCTTTAAATTTTTTCAATGAGATATGAATACTGCAATTAGTAATTACTAGCACAAACAGCCTTCCGAATTAAAAAGAATGGGAGATAAATTTCCAAATAAGGCAAAATAATTCAGTGTAATTAAATATTTCAAATAAGTGAAAAGGATGTTATGTTTATTCTACTGACATAGCTATATAATTGTTCTTTAGAGCAGTGTTTCTCAACAACCAATTCATCACAACTACATTGTTAATCCCTAGGATTTCACAAAAACAAACAAACAAAAACTAACAGAATATTCACATGTAAATTGTAAAGGTTTATCTTGTACTTGCAGTATTTTAGTGGTCTATGACAATTTAGGGAAGCAACAAGCCAGTCCCTAGTATCAAAAAGGATGAGAAAAGCCCCAAAAGTGGAATTTAAATAGTGCTAAAATAAATATAAAAAAAAATACCTTTTTCTGTCCCCAAATTAAATTAACACTCGGTTTCCCTCTTCTAGCATCTGATGTATCAATCACATCATCATGAACTAAACTGGCAGTGTGAATAATTTCTGATACAAGTGCAATTTTTCGTTGAGAATCTAATAACCTAAGAAGATAAAATATTAAAAATTCAGATTTTTCTTTGTATACTAAAAGGATGAAGTTTAATCTTAGAAATCTTTAGTTTCTTTTACACATAAGTATCTGAAAAATTTTAAATTTTTTAAACGAATGTACTGTATATACTACTTAAACATTAGCAAAAAACATAGCAGTTTTCTGTCACTCATTTTTTATTTTTCAAAAATCTAAAACAATATATATATATATATATATATA